GTTGAAGCAGATTTGGAGGGGGAGCCGGGTGTTTTCGGCGGTGCCGGGTGTAGCACGAAGCTAGCTAGCTAGCCGTTTTTCAAACAAAGTCAACACAGTAGCCATTGCTAGCTAGCCAACACGACCAGCTAACTGTACTGTAGTAGCTAAATACAATATACTTGTGCTAGCTAGCCAACGTTTAATTATTGCTGCGTTATGAAAGGAACTAGACACGGACACAAATTATCTGTTTAGTGTGTTAACACACTATTGGTAGTCTGTTGTAACCAAGTATTGGTGCTAAACTGTGTGTTATTGGATGCTAGCATGCTAGTTAGCTATGGTGTCATAGTTAGGCATCGTGGGCTGTTGTGGGTAGTTATTGTAGGTTAGCATTGTTTTCGGCGGTGCCGGGTGTAGCACGAAGCTAGCTAGCTAGCCGTTTTTCGAACAGAGTCAACACAGTAGCCATTGTGTGCTGTACTGTGGCAGCTAAATACAATATATTTGTGCTAGCTAGCCAACGTTTAATTATTGCTGCGTTATGAAAGGAACTAGACACGGACACGAATTATCTGTTTAGTGTGTTAACACACTATTGGTGGTTTGTTGTGACCAAGTGTTGGTGCTAAACTGTGTGTTATTGGATGCTAGCATGCTAGTTAGCTATGGTGTCATAGTTAGCTAGCTGAATAAAGTGGGTTGAGTCTATTCCTTGAAACATTGAACCGCTGTGGTTCACAACAATTCTGATTTCTAAAGGTGGAAGTTGGGAGAGTTTTTGTTCGGGTGGTTCAGTGAAACAATTATAGTTTCTGAGGTGGAAGTTTTGGTGAGGGAGGCCCTGCTCTCTCCTCTCCCAGATGTTTAGTTCATTTCATTCCGATCTCCTCTGCATTATTGTAGCCATTTGCTACAGCCTGTCAACTATGCCTCTGCCTATCCCTGTTCTCTCCTCTCTGCACAGGCTACACAAACGCCTCACACCGCGTGGCTGCTGCCTCTCTAACCTGGTGGTCCCTGCACGCACCCCACACCTGGAGTTCCAGGTCTCAGGCAGCCTCTGGAACTGCCGTTCTGCTGCCAACAAAGCTGACTTCATCCCAGCCTATGCTAACCTCCAGTCCCTCGACTTCCTGGCGCTGACGGAAACATGGATTACCACTGAAAACACTGCTACTCCTACTGCTCTCTCCTCGTCTGACCATGTGTTCTCGCATACCCCGAGAGCATCTGGTCAGAGGGGTGGTGGCACAGGAATCCTCATCTCTCCCAAGTGGACATTCTCAATTTTTCCCCTAACCCATCTGTCTATCTCCTCATTTGAATTCCATGCTGTCACAGTCACTAGCCCATTTAAGCTTAATATCCTTGTCATCTATCGCCCTCCAGGTTCCCTTGGAGAGTTCATCAATGAGCTTGACGCCTTGATAAGTTCCTTTCCTGAGGATGGCTCACCCCTCACAGTTTTGGGGGATTTCAACCTCCCTACGTCCACATTTGACTCATTTCTCTCTGCCTCCTTCTTTCCACTCCTCTCCTCTTTTGACCTCACCCTCTCACCATCCCCCCCTACTCACAAGGCAGGCAATACGCTTGACCTCATCTTTACTAGATGCTGCTCTTCTACTAATCTCACTGCAACTCCCCTCCATGTCTCCGACCACTACTTTGTTTCCTTTTCTCTCTCGCTCTCCTCCAACACTACTCACTCTGCCCCTACACAGATGGTAATGCGCCGCCGCAACCTTCGCTCTCTCTCTCCCACTACTCTCTCCTCTTCCATCCTATCATCTCTTCCCTCTGCTCAATCCTTCTCCCTCCAATCTCCTGATTCTGCCTCCTCAACCCTCCTCTCCTCCCTTTCTGCATCCTTTGACTCTCTGTGTCCCCTATCCTCCCGGCCGGCTCGGTCCTCCCCTCCAGCTCCGTGGCTTGATGACTCATTGCGAGCTCACAGAACAGAGCTCCGGGCAGCGGAGCGGAAATGGAAGAAAACTAAACTCCCTGCCGACCTGGCATCTTTTCACTCCCTCCTCTCTACATTTTCTTCTTCTGTTTCTGCTGCTAAGGCCACTTTCTACCACTCTAAATTCCAAGCATCTGCCTCTAACCCTAGGAAGCTCTTTGCCACATTTTCCTCCCTGCTGAATCCTCCCCCCCCCACCCCCCCCCACCCCCCCCCCCCTCCTCTCTCTCTGTGGATGACTTCGTCAACCACTTTGAAAAGAAGGTTGACGACATCCGATCCTCGTTTGTTAAGTCTAATGACACTGCTGGTCCTACTCACACTGCCCTACCCTATGCTTTGACTTCTTTCTCCCCTCTCTCTCCAGATAAAATCCTGCGACTTGTGACTGCAGGCCGCCCAACAACCTGCCCGCTTGACCCCATCCCCTCCTCTCTTCTCCAGACCATCTCCGGTGACCTTCTCCCCTACATCACCTCGCTGATCAACTCATCCTTGACCGCTGGCCATGTCCCTTCCGTCTTCAAGAGAGCGAGAGTTGCACCCCTTCTCAAAAAACCAACACTCGATCCCACTGATGTCAACAACTACAGACCAGTATCCCTTCTTTCTTTTCTTTCCAAAACTATTGAGCGTGCCGTCTTTAGCCAACTCTCTTGCTATCTCTCTCAGAATGACCTTCTTGATCCAAACCAGTCAGGTTTCAGGACTGGTCATTCAACTGAGACTGCTCTTCTCTGTGTCACGGAGGCTCTCCGCACTGCTAAAGCTAACTCTCTCTCCTCTGCTCTTGTCCTTCTAGACCTGTCTGCTGCCTTTGATACTGTGAACCATCAGATCCTCCTCTCCACCCTCTCCGAGCTGGGCATCTCCGGCGCGGCTCACTCCTGGATTGCGTCCTACCTGACCGGTCGCTCCTACCAAGTGGCGTGGCGAGAAGCTGTCTCCGCACCACGTGCTCTCACCACTGGTGTCCCCCAGGGCTCAGTTCTAGGCCCTCTCCTATTCTCCCTATACACCAAGTCACTTGGCTCTGTCATATCCTCACATGGCCTCTCCTATCATTGCTACGCTGACGATACACAACTAATCTTCTCCTTTCCCCCTTCTGATAACCAGGTGGCGAATCGCATCTCTGCATGTCTGGCAGACATATCAGTATGGATGACGGATCACCACCTCAAGCTGAACCCTGGCAAGACGGAGCTGCTCTTCCTCCCGGGGAAGGACTGCCCGTTCCATGATCTCGCCATCACGGTTGACAACTCCGTTGTGTCCTCCTCCCAGAGTGCGAAGAGCCTTGGCGTGACCCTGGACAACACCCTGTCGTTCTCCGCTAACATCAAGGCGGTGACCCGATCCTGCAGGTTCATGCTCTACAACATTCGGAGAGTACGACCCTGCCTTACACAGGAAGCGGCACAGGTCCTAATCCAGGCACTTGTCATCTCCCGTCTGGATTACTGCAACTCGCTGTTGGCTGGCCTCCCTGCCATTAAACCCCTACAACTCATCCAGAATGCCGCAGCCCGTCTGGTGTTCAACCTTCCCAAGTTCTCTCACGTCACCCCCCTCCTCCGCACACTCCACTGGCTTCCAGTTGAAGCTCGCATCCGTTACAAGACCATGGTGCTTGCCTATGGAGCAGTGAGGGGAACGGCACCTCCGTACCTTCGGGCTCTGATCAGTCCCTACACCCAAACGAGGGCATTGCGTTCATCCACCTCTGGCCTGCTGGCTCCCCTTCCTCTGCGGAAGCATAGTTCCCGCTCAGCCCAGTCAAAACTGTTCGCTGCTCTGGCACCCCAATGGTGGAACAAGCTCCCTCACGACGCCAGGACAGCGGAGTCACTCACCACCTTCCGGAGACATTTGAAACCCCACCTCTTTAAAGAATACCTGGGATAGGATAAAGTAATCCTTCTACCCCCCCCCCCCCCCCAAAAAAAAATAATAATAAATAAAAAAAAGTAAAAAAAATAAAAAAAAATAAGGACAAAAAATATAAAGACAAAAAATCATAAAAAGTAATAAAAAAAAATTTGTAAAGTGTTTATCCCACTGGCTATAAGGTGAATGCACCGATTGAATGCACACAAAGTATCCCCTTCAAGTCAAAAGGTGACAGTTCTAGTTGATTATGCAACATGTAAATTATTCTCTAATCTCTAGAATGCAGTTGTTGTTAGAAATGCAGGAATTTCACATACTTTATGCAAAGTAAATTAGAAAGTCAAAACACTGACAGAGAACCTGGATCCTTGACATCTAGCTCTAGTACTGTTTCCTCCAGTCACTTCAAGTAAATCAATGTTTGGACCAATATCCTGGACACTGGCACAATGTATTGCATCTTTCATGCTCCCTTACAGTGATTTTTCTGGACCTGGAGTCTCTTCATTTGATCTAATCTCCCTTTCCTCTGTGTGTGTGACTTTTTTTGATGTCTTCTCCTGCTCCACTAACTTCAGATAGCCTGACTCGCAGAATGAAATGCACGCCAGAGGACCAATTTGCTCATGTTCCATTTTCCCTGAATCATGATCCGTAAAATCCCTCTGGTAAGATACTGTCAAGGTTGACTAGACGTACATAGAAAGTGCATTATGACCTCAATTAGAAAGGAAATCTGAGTAGATATAGTCTGAGCAGAGTTCGTTAATAACGATGAGTTACTGATGGGCCAGTTCTAAGATTGGGACTGTATGAAGTACTGCTGTTTATTTCAATGTAGTACTTTGTATGTAACCTCGTCCCCAGGCTATATTGCTACCGCATATAGAAAGAGAGACAGGTTCAATTGGCTAGTGGATGTAACTTCTTTAACTGCATTGTAAAATAAGCCCATGTCTTCCCTCTTTCCACCAGGAGACCAAAGTCAATGAGGACTAGTTGAGTGACAAGCCAAACATCCTGGAGACCAATCTACCAATGTCACCACAACATCATCCCGTCCCTTTCTTCATTGGATCTACAACCCAGCTGCTATTGTCTCACTGACAGTCTCTCACTGGAATTCAACAGAGATATTCCACTGCCCAGATTGCCAATGATTACAAGGAACGGTCTGCTGTTGGTCTTTTGGTTTCTCTTGGACAAAGGCTTCCTGGCTCCCCTCCACTCTCCGCCCCAAAGCAGGATGGGAAGAGAGCAACACCTGAGGGGTGTGGCAGGACTGGGACAGAGGAGACATGGGGCATCAGGGGTTCAGAGGGTGAAGAGAGGATGGGTGTGGAACCAGTTCTTTGTACTGGAGCAATATATGGGATCGGAACCACAATATGTTGGGAAGGTAAGCCACCATCATTTTAAAGCTTTCTTTAAGACTTATCTATATCAACTTTCCCACAATAGGTTGGAAAAGTAAGACAACATAATTTCAAGGTTATGGTTCTCTAAGACTAATCAATATACACCTCTTAACTTCTGTCTTTATTCTACTGATGACAGTTTGAGGTCAGAAATCAAACTGAAAAGGAGTTCAAAGGCTTGGGCCTCTGTTTGTTAAGACTTTAAGAATATAAGAATACAAGCAGCACGACACGAATCACATCTAATTGCTTGAGCTGCTTGATCGCTTCTGACTGCGATATTGCAATTTTCTCAGCATCGGCTCTAATTATCCACACACAGAGGAGGTGAAAGGGATTTTTGGGCAGTTCCAAATCAAATTTTAAGAGGCATTAAGAACCATTCTGGAATCTGGCACTTCCAGCTCAAATTGAATAATGGTTTAGATTGACTTGTCAACTGCTGATGCCAAGGCAATCTACCACAGCCTTTCTCAGCACGCACGATCCCGCTGGATGTGTTTCTGTTGGCTGAGAAAGGAGGGATGGGATAGTCACATCCACACATTGTCAAACAGATGCTACAATTACTGAGTGATTCACTCCTCACAGTGGGTGCGTCCCCAAATGGCACCCTATTCCCTATACACTGTAGTGCACTACTACCATTTGGAATGTAACCAGTGTCTGTGTTGAGAATGAGGATGGCAGAAGTCGTACCCGGCCAGCCCTGAGACCACTGATTAATCTGTTGCTGGTTAATAGGGGACAGTGTGAAGGATCAGGACCTTGATTATCACTGTGAGCTGCATTTTTGGAAAAGGGAACATAAACTAAATCTGGCTTGAAAACCATGTGACTGCCAGTTCATGAATCCCCCTCCAGCCAGAGAGAGCTGTCTAATGGTTTCTGTTACTCTATTTAGAAAACCTACAGAGGCATATTACAGTATATAAAGATAATTTTCACCTGACGACTTTCCTCAGCCATTACTTTGGTTATTGTTTCTATATCGCCTTTGTACTGACATTTATTAAGACAACACTATGATTTATAAACAGATACAAAATGACAACTTTTAATTTAACAACAGGTAATGGCCACAGCCTTCCTGGCAAAAACAGGAGAAAAAGCATTTTCTTCCATTAGTCGCACACCTTTGTGTGAGCATTTTGAAGACAGAAAATGACTGCACCACTGATCCACGTTGCCCAAAGCTCCTCTGCTGTGTTTGTTCCCATGTATTATGCAACTGTAGAGGCAGACACAGACAAAGCTGACCAACTAAGAGTGAAAGATCCACATTTAAACACCAGTTTGCCTTGTGCCCCTGGATCTGACATTCAGCAAGCCTTATGGGGAAAACAGTTATATGCTGCTGTACTCTGTACAACTAAACAGTCTGCTACTGGGCCCCATACTAAGCAAATGCCATCTGCAAGGAAGACTGAGCTAGTGGGCTTGTCTGGTCTAAACTAAAACACACTAAGCTTCTCTCTAGTCTAAATCACTGGGTTAAATTGTTTGTGGTGCTGATGATCATTTAAGCATTCTGGTTGGGTCTCTCAAGGATAGCCACTTCTCAGTTGAAACTACAACATGTCACTTTGGCTATCATATCATTTTGCATTGCATGTTTGCAGCTACAACTAGAAAACCGGTATATGCAGAGCCAATAGCCCCCATGACTATTCATTGCAGAGAAATGCTGCATCAGATGATAAACTGCTCATCATTTGCTTCAATCATGAAAAGAGCACACCTCTCACACCCTTTTGAGCAAGGATATATCAACCCCTTGCCTCCTATTCCTTATTGCTGAATAACCTTTTACAATGACACGTTCATTTATCTTACTGTTGCCCCTGTATGTGACTATCAGACACCCAAATGACCACATGATGTATCATAGTATATGGATTCAGCTAAATATCATTCTATTCTATAACTGCCTGATGCCGACAGTTACCCCATCCCAACACTACTTTGTACTCAGGACACAAGCGATTCATTGGCATTAAAGCACTGGATGGATGCTGTTAAATATTCCATTCAAATATTTATTTCCTCCCGATTTATTTTAATCCAGACATTGTTCCTGTGGAGGTTTCATTTGGGGTTTTTTTATACCACAAATGGCATTAATATCCGATTCACTTTAAAAATCATTATATCCGAACCCACTGTCAAGAGTAAAATCGTGTTCTGCCTGCTGAATGCGGTACATCAGACAGTGAGTGAATGGACATAAAACAATGTAATGAGTGACTGTGTCTTGAGATTCAGCCCTCTGATTTAATTACATTTAATTCACTGCCTTTCTAAATAAACCATTAATCTCATGGATGGAAAGGGTTTTATTGTCCCCTGCATACTGAAACTGAATCACAGGCTATGTACCAAATGGCATCCTATTCCCTATATAGTGCACTACTTTTGACCAGATCCCTATGGGCCCTGGTCAAAAGCAGTGCACTACATAAGGGCAGGGGTCAGAAACAGGTGTGGCCCCCCAAAGTTTTTAGTAAGAAAATCACCAGGAATTCAGCTAAAAAGATATATATATTTAGGAAATCTGTTCCCAAGTATTCCCACAAATAAAGAAAGTGACATACTGTATGTGATCGTGTCTCAATGTAATCAAGGTATGAAATTATTGTTATTTTCAAATAAAATCTCTTAATGGGCTTAGTTGTGGTCAATTTATTATAATTATGGTCTGGCCCCATGACCAAAAATCAGCCCGCAGTTGAATTTAGTTGCCATCCCCTGACATAGGGAATAGGACGGGACTCATCCCATTTTATCGTTGTTGTTGTGGCTCATGGATTATCTGCTATGTAAATCCTAACCCTTGCCATCCAGCCTAAGTAATGAATCCCTTTATGGGATAACCGAGCCACAGGTCAACTAAAGGATTTCTTCATTAACTCGGGGGTCTGTGCTCTGCCACTGCAGTATATGTATTTATCAATGGCACAACATGTCCTCAGCATTTCCATATGGTCGGTGATGGTTGGAAGGAATGAGGAGGAAATAGACACAGCTCAGCAACAAAACTCTGTCCCCTATGCATCTTGTCATCCATCAAACAAGACACTGTATGCACTTATGCTCAAGTCTCATAAGTATATGTGTATTCCTACTCTGATTCTCTATGCAGCTTCACACTGACCTGGACAGGGGCGACAGCAACGTGAAGTACACTCTCTCAGGAGAAGGAGCCGGAACCATCTTCACCATAGACCAGACGACGGGTGACATCCATGCCTTGATGGGTCTGGACAGAGAGGAGAAGTCTTACTACACGTTACGAGCCCAGGCTGTGGACATGTACACAGGCAGGCCTCTGGAGCCTGAGTCTGAATTCATAATCAAAGTTCAAGACATCAACGACAATGAACCAAAGTTCTTGGATGGCCCATATACTGCCAGTGTCCCAGAGATGTCACCAGGGGGTAAGAAAGGCACCTACAGTGGCTTGGGAAACTATTCACCCCCCTTGGCATTTTTCCTATTTTGTTAAATTACAACCTGGAATTAAAATGGATTTTTGGGGGGTTTGTATTACATTTACATTTACATCATTTACCAGACGCTCTTATCCAGAGCGACTTACAAATTGGTGCATTCAACTTATGATAGCAAGTGGGACAACCACTTTATTTTATTTTATTTTTATGTGGGGTGGGGGAAGAAGGATTACTTTATACTATTCCATGTATTCCTTAAAGAGGTAGGGTTTCAAGTGTCTCCGGAAGGTGGTCAGTGACTCCGCTGTCCTGGCGTCGTGGGGGAGCTTGTTCCACCATTGGGGTGCCAGAGCAGCGAATAGCTTTGACTGGGCTGAGCGTGAACTGTGCTTCCATAGAGGTAGGGGAGCTAGCAGGCCAGAGGTGGATGAACGTAGTGCCCTCGTTTGGGTGTAGGGTCCGATCAGAGCCTGAAGGTAAGGAGGTGCCGTTCCCCTCACAGCTCCGTAGGCAAGCACCATGGGCTTGTAGTAGATGCGAGCCTCAACTGGAAGCCAGTGGAGTGTGCGGAGTAGTGGGGTGACATGAGAGAACTTGGGAAGGTTGAACACCAGACGGGCTGCAGCGTTCTGGATAAGTTGTAGGGGTTTAATGGCACAGGCAGGGAGCCCAGCCAACAGCGAGTTGCAGTAATCCAGACGGGAGATGACAAGTGCCTGGATTAGGACCTGTGCCGCTTTCTGTGTAAGGTAGGGTCGTACTCTGCGAATGTTGTAGAGCATGAACCTGCAGGATCGGTCACCGCTTTGATGTTAGTGGAGAATGACAGGGTGTTGTCCAGGGTCACGCCAAGGTTCTTTGCACTCTGGAAGGAGGACACAATGGAGTTGTCAACCATGATGGCGAGATCATGGAGCGGGCAGTCCTTCCCCGGGAGGAAGAGCAGCTTCGTCTTGCCGAGGTTCAGCTTGAGGTGGTGATCCGACATCCACACTGATATGTCTGCCAGACATGCAGAGATGCGATTCGCCACCTGGTTATCAGAAGGGGGAAAGGAGAAAATTAATTGTGTGTCGTCTGCGTAGCAATGATAGGAGAAACCATGTGAGGATATGACAGAGCCAAATGACTTGGTGTATAGAGAGAATAGGAGAGGGCCTAGAACTGAGCCCTGGGGGACACCAGTGGTGAGAGCACGTGGTGCGGAGACAGATTCTCGCCACGCCACCTGGTACGAGCGACCTGTCAGGTAGGACACAATCCAAGAGTGAGCAGCGCCGGAGATGCTAAACTCGGAGAGGGTGGAGAGGAGGATCTGATGGTTCACAGCATTAAAGGCAGCGGATAGGTCTAGAAGGATAAGAGCAGAGAGAGTTAAGCTTTAGCAGTGCGAAGAGCCTCCATGACATAGAGAAGAGCAGTCTCAGTTGAATGACCAGTCTTGAAATCTGACTGGTTTGGATCAAGAAGGTCATTCTGAGAGAGATAGCAGGAGAGTTGGCTAGAGACGGCACGCTCAATAGTTGTATCATTTGATTTACACAACATGCCTACCACTTTGGAGATGCAAAATATTTTTTGGGGTGAAACAAACAAGAAATAAGACAAAAAAACTGAACACTTGAGCGTGCATAGCTATTCACCCCCCCAAAGTCAATCCTTTGTAGAGCCACCTTTTGCAGCAAATCCAGCTGCAAGTCTCTTGGGGTATGTCTCTATAAACTTGGCACATCTAGCCACTGGGATTTTTGCCCATTCCTCAAGGCAAAACTGCTCCAGCTCCTTCAAGTTGGATGGATTGCACTGGTGTACCTAGGCTTTGACTAGGCCATTCCAAGACATTTAAATGTTTCCCCTTAAACCACTCGAGTGTTGCTTTAGCAGGATGCCTAGGGTCATTGTCCTGCTGGAAGGTGAACCTCCGTCCTAGTCTCAAATCTCTGGAAGACTGAAACAGGTTTCCCTCATGAATTTCCCTATATTTAGCGCCATCCATCATTCCTTAAATTCTGACCAGTTTCCTAGTCCCTCCCGATGAAAAACATCCCCACAGCATGATGCTGCCACCACCATGCTTCACTGTGGGGATGATGTTCTCGGGGTGATGAGAGGTGTTGGGTTTGTGCCAGACATAGCATTTTCCTTGATGGCCAAAAAGCTCAATTTTAGTCTCATCTGACCAGAGTACCTTCTTCCATATGTTTGGGGAGTCTCCCACATGCCTTTTAGAGAACACCAAACGTGTTTGCTTATTTTTTTTTTAAGCAATGGCTTTTTTCTGGCCACTCTTTCCTTAAAGCCCAGTTCTGTGGAGTATACGGCTTAAAGTGGTCCTATGGACAGATACTCCAATCTCTGCTGTGAAGTTTTGCAGCTCCTTCAGGGTTATCTTTGGTCTCTTTGTTGCCTCTCTGATTAATGCCCTCCTTGCCTGGTCACTGAGGTTTGGGGGGCGGCCCTCCTGTGATGCCATATTCTTTCCATTTTTTAATAATGCATTTAATGGTGCTCCGTGGCATGTTCAAAGTTTCTGATATTTTTTTATAACCCAACACTGATCTGTACTTCTCCACAACTTTGTCCCTGACCTGTTTCGAGAGCTCCTTGGTCTTCATGGTGCCGCTTGTTTGGTGGTGCCCCTTGTTTAGTGGTGTTGCAGACTCTGGGGCCTTTCAAAACAGGTGTATATATACTGAGATCATGTGACAGATCATGTGACACTTAGATTGCACACAGGTGGACTTTATTTAACTAATTATGTGACTTCTGAAGGTAATTGGTTGCACCAGATCTTATTTAGGGGCTTCATAGCAAAGGGGGTGAATACATATGCACGTACCACTTTTCCGTTATTTATTTTTTAGAATTCTTTGAAACAAGTTTTTTATTTATTTAATTTCACCAATTTGGACTAGTTTGTGTCTGTCCATTACATTAAATCCAAATAAAAATTCATTTAAATTACAGGTTGTAATGGAACAAAATAGGAAAAACGCCAATGGGGATGAATACTTTTGCAAGGCACAATATACTGTACTTTTTGGCTTATACAAATCCATATGGGGTAAAGTTACTATGACAATTGGACATTAAGCTACACTAGGGTATTTGAAGGGAATCCTGTAGGTATACAGGCCTAGTTCTACTGTCTATGAATTTCATCATCATAAAATCATATGATTGAGATCTGACTCCAATTGGAATGATAGGCAAAGGTTGCTGTTGGGTGGTTTCATTTCAAGTCATGGCACGCAGGTGGCATTGGTGTTTTTGTGTTGTGATGTTTTTGCAGTAAAAAGGAATAAAGTCCACTATTTTGACACTCATTCACAGTAAATTGTGGTGGACTCAACAAATGTTGCTAGTCTCGAACAAACCGTGCCAGTTTTTCTAAACGTTTGTCCCGCACACTGATCACCATGAGCAGTGGTAGGGACCCAAAGAATGCTAACAATTTGGCCTAAAGCCAAACATTTTCAGTCTTTATATGATACAGGCTACGTCCGTGTTTAAGTGGTACAAAAGGATTAAGTGGTACAAAACACTGAATTGATATTAAATCAAAGTAATAGCGGTTAGTTCTTCTACCTATTTTGAGCACAGGTTGGATACCATGGATACAGTATCCATATTAGGACACTCTCAGTTTCAGTAAGAGTTGGTCTCAGTAGAAGTGGAGTTGGTCTCAGTAGAAGTTGAATTATTATTATTATTTATTTAACTAGGCAAGACAGTTAAGAACAAATTCTTATTTACAATGATGGTGAATTATTATGAATGAACTGTAGAGTTTAATGGACTATGAGGTAGAACTGGGTTAATGAAGAGCATAAAGTTAGAATTCTTTGTTACTGGGCCAGGAATTGTATTGGGTCATTTAATTTCACTGTGTGGGTGAGTAGAGAAGGAATCTGCCCTAGGGTCAGATTGCTTGCTCTTACTTAAATCCATGGCTGTCTTATCTGATGAGAGACTGAAACTAGCTTGTGGCCTTTTGTCTCTCTCTTCAAACACAGTGAAGGGAGCGGCACCAGGGTTGAATAGAGTTTGGGCTAGACCTTTGTCTCCTTGGTATCTTCTTGATTGATTACAGCATGAGGGGGTGAGGTTTGTGGATGATTCAAGAATTTAGGGCCTTGTCATGTTTAAACTAAACATGAGTGTGTGTGCAAGACAGGGGAGCGAGTGATTGGTTGGAGTAATAGTTCAGCCGTCCTCAGGGACAAAGGAAGTGGGTGTGGAGTGATAAAGAGCGGGAAACTGAAGAGGGAGGGATTTAGAGCTAGAAGAGTTGGGGATGATGGGATATAATGTGACGTGAGGAAGGAGAACGGGGTGCCATTCTGTAGACTGGTATCGGCTTTGTTGAAATTTTAATAAAGTCATTTCTTGATGCAACAAAAACTCTGTAAGACCTTATTTGTAATAAAGTATAGTGGTTATTTTCCACAACACCTACACCGGCCAAACCCAGACGATGCTGGGTCAATTGTGCGCCGCACTATGGGACTCCCAATCACGGCCGGTTGTGATACAGCCTGGAATCGAACCAGGGGGTCTGTAGTGACACTGAGATGCATTGCCTTAGACCTCAGTCTCAGTAGAAGTTGAATCCATCTCAGTAAGAATTGAGTCATTCTCAGTAAGAGTTGAGTCAGTCTCAGTAGGAGTTGAGTCAGTCTCAGTAGAAGTTGAGTCAGTCTCTATAGAAGATGAGGGTGTCTCCGTAAAAGTTGAGTCAGTCTCAGTAAGAGTTGAGTCATTCTCAGTAGGAGTTGAGTCAGTAGAAGTTGAGTCAGTCTCAGTAAGAGTTGTCTTTCCTCTTTTTCTATCTTCCTTTCCTAAATCCCTTTCCTTCGTTCCTTTCCTAGCTTCCTTTCCTCCTTTCCTAGACCCCTTTCATTCTTTAATTTCCTAGCTCTCTTTTCTCCTTTCCTTTCTTAGCTGTATTTCCACCTTTCCTAACTTCCTTACCTCTTTTCGTTCCCTAACTCCTTTCCTCCTATTGGTTCTAAGCTTCCTTTCCAATCATCCATTCCTAGCATTATTTCCTACATATATTTCCTTAATTCCTTTCCTAGCCTCCTTTCCTAGCCCCTATCCTTATTTCATTTCCAAGCACTATTTCCTAATTTCCTTTCCTATCTTCCTTTCCTATTTTCCTTTCCTAGCTCTATTTCCTCCTTTCCTAGATAAAGGAGCTAGTAGAGGAGGAAAGGAAGCTAGGAAAGGATAGGAGGAAGGGGAGCTAGGAATCCAAAGGAGGAGAGGAAAGGAAGGCAAGGGTTCAAGGAAATTAAGCTAGGAAATTAGGAAAGAAAGATAGGAAAGGCAGAAAGGAAGCTAGGATAGGAGGAAAGGACATTTTGTTTGTAAAGAATAGGAGGAAAGGTAGCTAGGATTATGCAAAGTGAGTGCAAATGTATGTGGTAAGGATTCACAAGCCGCCAGTAGATGTCAATAGTATTGGCTTTAATGCGAGGCCAGTTATTTTGTGACAGGCCAGTTTTAGTGACAACCAATGGTGTCATACTGACACATTATCAGTAACCACAGCTGTCACCGAAAGGTGGTAGCATAATCATCATATATTCATTACTCTCCTTATGTTCTAAAGAAATGTACGTAAATGTAACTTGTGTCACCGTGCTGCTACCAGCTTCTCTTCCTCCACTGTCCCTGTCCCCTTATTGGGCTCAAACCAGTGGTCCTCTGATTGCAAATACACGTGACTGCCCGCCTGACAAACAGACCAGGGGTGCATTCAGTAGGATGCAACGTTTTGGAATGTTCAGATAGAAATATGCTATGTAGAACAAACACCCTTCTCTGACATGTAGAATAAGGAATCACTTAGTCTCTACTCGTGGCGTATCTATCTACAATGTTCAACAATGTTTGGCTACCGAACGAGGCCCTGCTGTCAAAAAACAATGGAGGCTTTATTTAGCATTGGCAGCGCCATTAAGGACTTTCACTATTTTTAAATAATCAACTTGGTGGGACTTCCTATGGGTTAAGGAAGGATCACATGATTCCATCCGGGTCATCGGGAGGGATCAGCCAAGAATTATACCCTTGAGCAAACATTCCATAACTGCAGGTGGCAGTAAATCGCAAACCTTGGCTTTATACCTGTTCATGGAAACCATGTGTTTGATGTTTTTGATACCGTTCCACTAATTCCGCTCCAGTCATTAACAGGAGCCTGTTCTCCCCAATTAAGGTGCCACCAACCTCCTGTGGTGAAAGCGCAGAAACACAAACATAAGAAACAACGATATGAAAATCTCCCGAGTGGCGCAGTGGTCTAAGGCACTGCATCGCAGTGCTAGCTGTGCCACTAGAGATCCTGGTTCAAATCCAGGCTCTGTTGTAGCTGGCTGTGACCGGGAGACCCATAGGGCGGCGCACAATTGGCCCAGGGTAGGGGAGGGAATGTCCGGCAGGGATGTAGCTCAGTTGGTAGAGCATAGCGTTTGCAACGCCAGGGTTGTGGGTTCGATTCCCACGGGGGGCCAGTTTGAAAAATAAATGAAAATAATGTATGCACTCACTAACTGTAAGTCGCTCTGGATAAGAGCATCTGCTAAATGGCTAAAATGTTTTAAAAAATGTAAATGTAATAAGATTATATGAAATAAAGAAAACCTCTACCTCATGCTGCCTAGTCTTTATATTAGTTATGCCTGCTGATTTTTTAAAGCTGTTTTAAAGCAAATTTCCTGAAATTCTATGCATTCTTACATGTATTATGTGTGTTTATATGATACCAGGGGTCGAAGCCCGACAACAAAAAATACAAAATAGCTTATGTAGCTTACATTGCATGCCAGAATTTGTCAAATTATGTCATTAAATGTTTCATTATGAATTCAAAAGAATCTTGTACTATTCTTAAGACATAATGCTCAAAGTTATGAAAATAACAGTATTTATTAACAATTTCCTTCCCTTTGTCTCTGTATGATGCACAGGTACTTTTGTTATGCAGGTGACTGCCACAGATGCTGACGACCCCACCTATGGGAATAGTGCACGGATCGTGTACAGTATCCTACATGGACAGCCTTACTTTTCAGTCGACTCCAAAACTGGTGAGATCACAACATAGTTGGAATCAAGGCACATCCACATCCACAATATCAAATGGAGAGATTTGAAAACCAAAGAGTTAAATGTGTTAACGGCCTTTACAATGGCAAAATGTAAAGCTTTACCACTGCAATATGTGATTATTGTAAATACTTTGAGATTATATTGCAGCTGAAGTTGGACTGAGAGTATAGGGGAACACTCTGAATCGGTGGCAACTTGTGACCCTGTAGTACCCGTACCATGAGACTCACTCCTGATCAAACGCTATTCACACAGGGAGAGGCACTATTAGGGCAGATTAGTATTTTGCAGGGTGTCAAAGGTCTCCTTTTTCTGACATCTTACACAGATGTGTAACATTCTCCTTAATGAATGCATGAGTCAAAATCCACCTCTTCTCTATTCCCTCGACTAACATCAAAGAGGATACGATCTCTTATAATCACAACTCATCTCTCTTTCTTCCCCTCACTACTCTTTGCTCTTGCTTGCCTCTCCCTCTCTCTCTCTCTCACACACACACACACACACACACACTCACATCTTCTCCGTTGCTTTTTGTGACCTTGAACAGGGGTTATCAGGACTGCGTTGCCTAACATGGACCGTGAAGTGAAGGAGCTGTACCAGGTCCTTATTCAGGCAAAAGATATGGGCGGTCAGCTGGGAGGACTAGCCGGAACCACCACCATTAACATCACCCTCAGCGACGTCAACGACAACCCACCCAGGTTTTCAAAAAGTGTGCCAAATTGCATTTTAATGACAATGGCTTTGTTTGCTATTACCCAATGAATCTAACAAGTACTGTATGAATATTGTGGGCACTGAAAGTGAATCTTTCTGCACATAAGGGATCTCATCATATCTCTAGGCAATTAGATGTTACTTTAATAATTGTCATATATATTTGTATGAGCTGTTTATATATAATCAATGGTTTAACAACACCAGCGAAGTGATGCTTGTATAAATAGGCTTCACATTATTAAAAGAGGGTAATGTGAGTCGCTGGTCCTTACATAAAACTACAACCGAGACTTGACTCATACAAGAAGCAGCCAATGACATCTTTTGTACTTCTACATTTTAATCTATTTTTATTGTATGGCAGGTATATTCCATCTCAGGGTCCCAGAGTCTTCATCAGTGGGCTCAGCAGTGGGGAAGATCAGAGCTCATGACCTGGACTCTGAGAAGAATGCAGAGGTGGAATATTCTATTGTTCCTGGAGATGAAGGAAACATGTTTAACATCACCTCCAACGGGGACAGTCAAGAGGGAATCATAGTCCTTAGTGAGGTAGGAATTAACAACCCTTCACCAGTCACTTCATTTTACTTGAACCATTTTACTCTGTGATGAGGAAAGGTCCACACATGATCTCCATCGCACTCTGTTTTGGGCCAGTTTCTCAAGTAAGAATTGCAGATCTGTTATGATAGATCATGAGCAAAGCTGTGCTCATTTAGATCATTAAACTGATGTACTACATAGGCCTTGGAATATTAATAGAAAATTGCTGCATACATCCTTTTATCACAACTACAAACCATCCTCAGAACCTAACCATGAGGAAGTATGGAGAAAATGATTATCCCTATTTTCTAGCAGTCCAAAAATGAATTTTGATATTTTTCCAGGAAAATGCTTGGATGTGTTTGGATATAGCCTACATGAATAAATTAATACTTTTGAGGCTATGATCAGACAACACACCTCCTGATTGGATGTGACAAGCAGGAATCCCTTTAGACATCCCCTTTACAACAGCTTATTCTGTCTCTGTGGCCCACAGACTCCCAAACACTGGTATCCTATCTTCACATAAGTGGGTAGTTGCACCAAAGCTTTTGAACTGGGTTTGAGTGCATGTCTCGTCTGGGTTTGGATGATATTATTATTCACAGATGGGGTGTGTATCTTGCAGCTATGTGAGTTACCTTGATAGAAGTATATCAAAGTGCTACTTGCACTTGTCTAGATGTTGATAATGAACATTCAACACATTAGGCACTTTCTTGCAAATATATAGTGGGGATATACAAAGGCACTTTTGCCTTCTGAAATTGAAATGATTGTAGGGCTATAGGTCTATTTGTAGCTGTTTGTTCCTCTGCTAAAACAGCACCTGTAAAACTGTGAAAGCCCATGTGTTGGAGGAAAGGATGGAAAATGGCTTGGGGAGGGTTCAGCCAAGGTCTGTCACAGTGTGTGATAAGAGGATTTGGAAGAGTAACAGGTTCAAGTGATAATCACCTCCGTCAAAATAAAATATTATAGTGAAACTTATAGGTAAACTATCTGTGGGATTCAAATGCCCTCTACATATATTTATGTGCCAAGATATCGGGTCTATACTTTGTTTCTATATTGGACAGTGCTGGATATAGTTTAGGCTTAAAAGCCCTCCCAATTTAAGATATGGTTCAAGACTCCAGTAGTTATTATCTGTAAGGTTCCAACCAAAATAACACCAAAGCGATTATAAAAAACTGTAGTATGCAGGAAGTCAAGCATTTTGATATGGAAATGTCAATCCTTTATACGTTAGAACATCAACCACAGTAATCTATTTTATTTATTTGAGATAATATGATCTCTTTCCATGCCGAAAATAGTTATTACCATGTGGGTTATCAGTGAATTAAAAAAAAGTGTGCCCTCACACATGAAGTGGGAGGTTGAGGCGCTATGCTATCCCATGGATCTCCTTTATGATGAGACATGGCAGGTGAGTCAGGCACTTAGGAGGGCACAGTGAAAACAGCAGGAGCTTCCTGATACAAATACTGTGATTGACACCTCTGTGCCGTTAATAAGAAGGAATTGTCACTAGGTTGTGGGTGTGTGGTGGGAGGTAGAGTTGGAGGATATAGGCCCAAACCAACAAAGGATGGGTTCAATTTCCAGATAACAATATTTTCCCTGCTAATTTGCATGTATGCAGTGTTGCAAGAATTGTGTTCCCTGCAGGTAACGCTGAGCGGTGCTTTTTGGATGGGATGGCACACATGCTGTGGTGTCTGTCCTCCTGCATCTCCTGCCCAGTCCTGTTGTCTGTCTGGTTGTTATGCAGTCAGCAGGGTGGCTGCCCATTCCACAGACAACCAGACTTTTGCATGTGTGTGTCTCAGACAGGGACTGATGTGTGTGTGTTGACAGTGAAAACTGCTCTGCTGTCAATGCTAACTAGGGACCCAGCTGAGTTAATGTGAGACTGTAATATAGGGTTAGAAAGCTGTTCTCAAAGTGTCTTCCTGAAAATGTGTTAAAACCCCAAACATTGGCTGTTCAAGTCTCAAATTGCTTAAAAACTGAGACACTGAAGAACATGATTCTGTATTGGAAAAGGAATATTGAAACTAACCCTTTTGGTTCATTTAACATAAATCAATCTTGGTTGGTGCAATTAACAGGCATGTTTCCATATCAAAGTGCTTGACTTCCGTGTCTGTTGAGCATACTAAACCAAACAGAGATGTTAACAAACTGAATAAATGCATTTCACCTTTCACTCATTATCTTTCAGCATCTCGACTATGAAACCAAAAGGTCATACACCTTTAAAGTGGAGGCCTCCAATGCTCACCTGGATCCCCGGTTCCTCCTCCGGGGCCCCTTCAAAGACACTGCCACCGTCAAGGTCAACGTGCTGGATGTGGATGAACCCCCTGTGTTCACTAAGACCTCTTACACTATAGATGTGTATGAGGACACTCCTGTGAGCACCATCATTGGATCTGTTACAGCGCAGGACCTAGATGCAGGTACCAGTGCAGTTAGGTAAGGACTCTTGAATACATTAATACATACATGTATAGTAAGTCATATGTACCTACTGTATGGTTATTCAAAATGAGATTCATCAAGGCTGGTGTTGAGAAATGGGACCATGATGGATTGAGGTATTTTCCATTTGGGCACCTGTATCCGACACCTTAAATGGCAACAAAACTCAGCTGTCAACATAGATCAACTGTACAGTATCTATTTAGCGAGATGGGAGTATTTTGGTATGGTGACTGGAGTGTTGGATGTTTGATTTAACCAACAGAGACACACTTTCCTCCTCAGAGTTATGAACACTGACAACTAATATCCATTTGGCTTGTTGTTTTTCTGTTCTTCCAAATGTTTTCAAAGTACAGTTGACTTCCTGTTGGTGTTGAGAGACAGAGCGTGAGACACAGGACATCTGCACAAGAACATAAAAATACGTTGTGGCCCAGCAGTGTGTTCTTTGTTATCGATGAATATTTAATGTCTTTCTAGAAATGGAGGATGCAGTAATTCACCTTGCTTAAAAGGCCGTCCTTGTTATGTCTGCTTAATATTTAAAAGCATTACATTTGTCATTGTTCTTATGGGACATGAAACACTTAAACATACTAGAACGCTGATCAGAACACAATCACATGGCATTCTATTCCCTATCAGGGTCTGGTCATAAGAAGTGCACTATATAGGGAATAAGGTACTATTTGGTACGCATCCCTAGTTTCTACATGAAAAATGAATAATTATTATTCTGTGTAATGTTTGCCGTCATTACCTTGGTCTTTCTTTGATTAATCGTTATGACATTTCTCCTTCGGGACCAATAAAATATTTAAGCCTATCTATCTCTATAGACCTATTACATTCAGATTTTCTATTACAGTGCCTTCAGAAAGTATTCACACCCCTTGACTTTTTCCACATTTTGTTGTGTTACAGCCTGATTTTTAAATTTATTAAATTGAGATTTTTGGGGTCACTGCCCTTCACACAATACCCCATAATGTCAAAGTTGAAATATGTTTTTTTCAAAATGTTTACAAATTAATAAAAAATGAAAAGCTGAAATGTCTTCAGTCAGTAAGTCAGTAAGTTTGTTATGGAAAGCCTAAATAAATGTAGGAGTAAAAATGTGTTTAACAAGTCACTCTATGTGCAATAATAGTGTTTAACATGATTTTTGAAAGACTACCCCATCTCTGTACCCCACACATACAATTATCTGCAAGGTCCCTCAGTCGAGCAGTGAATTTCAAACACATATTTAACCACAAAGACCAGGGAGGTTTTCCAATGCCTCGCAAGGAAGGGCACCTATTGGTAGATGAAAAAAAAAGCTGACATTGAATATCCCTTTGAGAATGGTGAAGTTATTAATTACACTTCGGATGGCGTATCAATACACCCAGTCAGTACAAAGATAAAGGCGTCCTTCCTAACTTAGTTGAGAGGAAGGAAACCGTTTATGGATTTCACCATGAGGCCAATGGTCACTTTAAAACAATTAAAGAGTTTAATGGCTGTGATAGCTACTCCACAATACTAAACTAATTGACAGAGTGAAAAGAAGGAAGCATGTACAGAATAAAAATATTCCAAAACTGTTTACAAAAAGGCACTGAAGTAATACTGCAAAATATTTTGCAAAGCAATTAACTTTTTGTCCTGAATACAAAGTGTTATGTACCACTCTCCATATTTTCAAGCATAGTGGTGACTGTATCATGTTATGGGTATGCTGGTAATCATTTTAGACTGGGGAGTTTTTCAGGATAAAAAAGAAACGGAATGGAGATAAACACAGGCAAAATCCTAGAGGAAGACATGGTTAAGTCTGCTTTCCACCAGACCCTGGGAGATGAATTCACCTTTCAGCAGGACAATAACCTAAAACACAACGCCAAATCTACACTGGAGTTGCTTACCAAGAAGGCAGTTAATGTTCCTGAGTGGCCGAGTTACAGTTTTGACTTAAATCTGCTGAAAATCCATGGCAAGACCTGGAAATGGTTGTATAGCAATGATATTATTATTACCCAGAAAGACTCACAGCTTTAAACGTTGCCAAAGGTGCTTCCACAAGTATTGTTTTCACGTTGTCATTATTTAATCCATTTTGAATTCAGGCTGTAACACAACAAAATGTGGAGTAAGTCATGGGGCATGAATACTTTCTGAAGGCACTGTACATGCAAATTAAGATGTGGAAAGAATAGTTCAGCTGGAAGTATTGATTAAAAGATGCTGTGTGAGGTTGAAGAAATCATACTCTATTTGTTCAGTTGTTTTTTTCATGTATTCATGTTTTTTGTGCATGTTTTGTAGATACTCTATTGAGTGGAAGAGGCCTGTGGACAGCTGCTTTGGCATTGATACTGTGGAAGGGACCATCTCCACCAACGAGATGTTGGACAGAGAGAGTAATAGGCAGCACAATATCTCTGTTGTGGCCACTAAAGTTAGTAAGTATAGGACGAAGGGTAAATATGTACAGTATATAATATGTGTTATTATACACAGAGTGTATAAAACATTAGGAATACCTTCCTAATATTGAATAGCACCCCCTTTTGCCCTCAGAACAGCCTCAATTCGTCAGGGCATGGACTCTACAAGGTGTTGAAGGTGTTCCACAGGGATGCTGGCCCATGTTGACTCCAATGCTTTCAACAGTTGTGTCAAGTTGGCTGGATGGTCTTTGGGTGGTGGATCATTCTTTTTATTTTTATTTTATTTTATATTTTATAAACAATACAATACATACACACACACAAACGACATCACACAAACATCAACTACATCACACCTGCCCATACCCACTAGCACACACCCCCATCTCTAGTGCCCACATGGCCTCAAACTATACCATTTTGTTTCTGTTCATAGCCCACGCACTTTCAATATTTAAATAATAACTTATTCGATTTTTCCATTGTGTTAATGATGGCGGATTGATAGATTTTTAGTGTATGTTTTTTCAAGGTGAGTGATGAGAAGAGAATCGTCCAACCCATCGGGTATCTCACTACACCCCCTTATGCCATGTCTTGGAATATGCAGACAGACGGATTGAAAGTATGTTTACATTGTAATACTTCTGACAGCCAACTTTCTAGCTCTGCCCACAACTTCCAGACTTTATAGCATTCCCAGAAAGCATGGATTATTGAGTCCTTAGATTTACACTTAAGACATGACCCTGCTGATGTGCTATAGAATTTGTGAATTCTGTCTCTTGTAAATTCTATACATTAGTTTATACTGGATCAAACGTACATTTTAGTTAACTGTAATTTTGTTAGTTATGCTCCAACCTCCCCTCCATCTTGTGCCAACATCAGTTCTTTTTAAGTCTTGGTTCCAATAGTTTATATTTTTTTCTGAGATTGTTGTTTGGATATGCTCTCTGCAAGGTTTTGTATATCTTCCCTATCATATTAACATAATTTTCTGACTCACATAAGATTCCCTCAAGGTTGCTCTGATGTCCAAAAGATTTCCTGTTACCAAGTCATTTACGGTTTCTATGCCTTTACGGTTTCTATGGTTGACCATTCCTGATACACACGGGAAACTGTTGCGCCTGGCACCTACTACCTACCATACTCCGTTCAAAGGCACTTAAATACACTGCTCAAAAAAATAAAGGGAACACTTAAACAACACAATGTAACTCCAAGTCAATCACACTTCTGTGAAATCAAACTGTCCACTTAGGAAGCAACACTGATTGAAAATACATTTCACATGCTGTTGTGCAAATGGAATAGACAACAGGTGGAAATTATAGGCAATTAGCAAGACACCCCCAATAAGGACTGGTTTTGCAGGTGGTGACCACAGACCACTTCTCAGTTCCTATGCTTCCTGGCTGATGTTTTGGTCACTTTTGAATGCTGGCGGTGCTTTCACTCTAGTGGTAGCATGAGACGGAGTCTACAACCCACACAAGTGGCTCAGGTAGTGCAGCTCATCCAGGATGGCACATCAATGCGAGCTGTGGCAAGAAGGTTTGCTGTGTCTGTCAGCGTAGTGTCCAGAGCATGGAGGTGCTACCAGGAGACAGGCCAGTACATCAGGAGACGTGGAGGAGGCCGTAGGAGGGCAACAACCCAGCAGCAGGACTGCTACCTCCGCCTTTGTGCAAGGAGGAGCAGGAGGAGCACTGCCAGAGCCCTGCAAAATGACCTCCAGCAGGCCACAAATGTGCATGTGTCTACTCAAATGGTCAGAAACAGACTCCATGAGGGTGGTATGAGGGCCCGACGTCCACAGGTGGGGGTTGTGTTTACAGCCCAACACCGTGCAGGACGTTTGGCATTTGCCAGAGAACACCAAGATTGGCAAATTTGCCACTGGCGCCCTGTGCTCTTCACAGATGAAAGTAGGTTCACACTGAGCACGTGACAGACGTGACAGAGTCTGGAGACGCCATGGAGAACGTTCTGCTGCCTGCAACATCCTCCAGCATGAACGGTTTGGCGGTGGGTCAGTCATGGTGTGGGGTGGCATTTCTTTGGGGGGCCGCACAGCCCTCCATGTGCTCGCCAGAGGTAGCCTGACTGCCATTAGGTACCGAGATGAGATCCTCAGACCCCTTGTGAGACCATATGCTGGTGCGGTTGGCCCTGGGTTCCTCCTAATGCAAGACAATGCTAGACCTCATGTGGCTGGAGTGTGTCAGCAGTTCCTGCAAGAGGAAGGCATTGATGCTATGGACTGGCCCGCCCGTTCCCCAGACCTGAATCCAATTGAGCACATCTGGGACATCATGTCTCGCTCCATCCACCAACACCACGTTGCACCACAGACTGTCCAGGAGTCCAGGAAGACTAACAGCGCCGGAAGAAGATGGCTGCCGTTTTACAGCCCTCTAACCAATTGTACTATTATGTGTGTTTTTCCGCGTTATTTGTAATTTATTTTGTACATAATGTTTCTGCCATCGTCTCTTATAACCAAAGAGAGCTTCTGGATATCAGGACAGCGATTACTCACATCGCGTTGGACGAAGACTTTTTCTTCAACGAGGCGTTCGCGAAGGATATTCTACAGACACCCGACAAGGCCCAGATCCCCGTCATTCGCGTGAGGAAGAGACGGAGATATCGTGGACGCAGATCCGGGTGCCTTGTAAGGATCCGACGGCGAACGAGTAAACTGCCTCTCCCATCAATCCTATTAGCCAACGTTCAAGCTTTTGAGAATAAAATGGGCGATTTAAGATTACGGTTATCCTACCAACGGGACATTAAAAACTGTAATATCTTATGTTTCACGGAGTCGTGGCTGAACGACAACAATGACAACATTCAGCTAGCAGGCTATACGCTACATCGGCAGGACAGAACGGCAGACTCTGGTAAGACAAGGGGCGGCGGTCTGTGTATATTTGTAAACAACAGCTGGTGCACAAAATCAAATACTAAGGAAGTCTCGAGGTTTTGCTCGCCTGAGGTAGAGTATCTTATGATAAGCTGTAGACCACACTATTTACCAAGAGAGTTTTCATCTATATTTTTCATAGCTGTCTATTTACCACCACAAACCAATGCTGGCATTAAGATTGCACTGAATGAGTTGTACAAGGCCATTAATCAACAGGAAAACGCTCATCCAGATGCAGCGCTCCTAGTAGCCGGGGACTTTAATGCAGGGAAACTTAAATCCGTTCTACCTCATTTCTACCAGCATGTTAAATGTGCAACCAGAGGGGAAAAAACTCTAGACCACCTTTACTCCACACACAGAGACGCATACAAAGCTCTCCCTCGCCCTCCATTTGGCAAATCTGACCATAACTCTATCCTCCTGATTCCTGCTTATAAGCAAAAACTGAAGCAGGAAGCACCAGTGATTCGGCTAATAAAAAAGTGGTCAGATGACGCAGATGCTAAGCTACAGGACTGTTTTGCTAGCACAGACTGGAACATGTTCCGGGATTCTTCAGACAGCATTGAGGAGTACACCACATCAGTCACTGGCTTCATCAATAAGTGCATCGATGATGTCGTCCCCACAGTGACCGTACGTACATACCCCAACCAGAAGCCATGGATTACAGGAAACATCCGCACTGAGCTAAAGGGTAGAGCTGCCGCTTTCAAGGAACGGGACTCTAACCCGGACGCTTATAAGAAATCCCGCTATGACCTCCGACGAACCATCAAACAGGCAAAGAGTCAATACAGGTCTAAGATTGAATCATACTACACTGGCTCTTTCGCTCGTCGGATGTGGCAGGGCTTGAAAACTATTACAGACTACAAAGGGAAGCACAGCCGCGAGCTGCCCAGTGACACAAGCCTACCAGACGAGCTAAACCACTTCTATGCTCGCTTCGAGGCAAGCAACACTGAAGCATGCATGAGAGCACCAGCTGTTCCGGACGACTATGTGATCACGCTCTCCGTAGCCGATGTGAGTAAGACTTTTAAGCAGGTCAACATTCACAAGGCCGCAGGGCCAGACGGATTACCAGGACGTGTACTCCGAGCATGTGCTGACCAACTGGCAAGTGTCTTCACTGACATTTTCAACATGTCCCTGACTGAGTCTGTAATACCAACATGTTTCAAGCAGACCACCATAGTCCCCGTGCCCAAGAACTCTAAGATAACCTGCCTAAATGACTACCGACCCGTAGCACTGACGTCTGTAGCCATGAAGTGCTTTGAAAGACTGGTCATGGCTCACATCAACAGCATAATCCCAGAAACCCTAGACCCACTCCAATTTGCATACCGCCCCAACAGATCCACAGATGATGCAATCTCTATCGCACTCCACACTGCCCTTTCCCACCTGGACAAGAGGAACACCTACGTGAGAATGCTATTCATTGACTACAGCTCAGCATTCAACACCATAGTGCCCTCTAAGCTCATCACTAAGCTAAGGATCCTGGGACTAAACACCTCCCTCTGCAACTGGATCCTGGACTTCCTGACGGGCCGCCCCCAGGTGGTAAGGGTAGGTAACAACACATCTGCCACACTGATCCTCAACACGGGGGCCCCTCAGGGGTGCGTGCTCAGTCCCCTCCTGTACTCTCTGTTCACCCATGACTGCATGGCCAGGCACGACTCCAACACCATCATTAAGTTTGCCGACGACACAACAGTGGTAGGCCTGATCACCGACAACGATGAGACAGCCTATAGGGAGGAGGTCAGAGATCTGGCCGTGTGGTGCCAGGACAACAACCTCTCCCTCAACGTGACCAAGACAAAGGAGCTGATCGTGGACTACAGGAAAAAAAAGAGGACTGAGCACGCCCCCATTCTCATCGACGGGGCTGTAGTGGAACAGGTTGAGAGCTTCAAGTTCCTTGGTGTCCACATCACCAACGAACTATCATGGTCCAAACACACCAAGACAGTCGTGAAGAGGGCACGACAAAGCCTATTCCCCCTCAGGAGACTAAAAAGATTTGGCATGGGTCCTCAGATCCTCAAAAAATTCTACAGCTGCACCATCGAGAGCATCCTGACTGGTTGCATCACCGCCTGGTATGGCAACTGCTTGGCCTCTGACCGCAAGGCACTACAGAGGGTAGTGCGTACGGCCCAGTACATCACTGGGGCAAAGCTCCCTGCCATCCAGGACCTCTATACCAGGCGGTGTCAGAGGAAGGCCCTCAAAATTGTCAAAGACTCCAGCCACCCTAGTCATAGACTGTTCTCTCTGCTACCGCACGGCAAGCGGTACCGGAGTGCCAAGTCTAGGTCCAAAAGACTTCTCAACAGCTTCTACCCCCAAGCCATAAGACTCCTGAACAGCTAATCATGGCTACCCGGACTATTTGCACTGCCCCCCCACCCCATCCTTTTTACGCTGCTGCTACTCTGTTAAGTATTTATGCATAGTCACTTTAACTCTACCCACATGTACATATTACCTCAACTACCTCAACTAGCCGGTGCCCCCGCACATTGACTATGCAACGGTACCCCCCTGTGTATATATAGCCTCCCTACTGTCACTTTATTTTACTTCTGCTCTTTTTTTCTCAACACTTTTTTGTTGTTGTTTTATTCTTACTTTTTTGTTTAAAATAAATGCACTGTTGGTTAAGGGCTGTAAGTAAGCATTTCACTGTAATGTCTGCACCTGTTGTATTCGGCGCATGTGACCAATAACATTTGATTTGATTTGATTTGATTTGATTTGAGTTGGCGGATGCTTTAGTCCAGGTCTGGGAGGAGATCCCTCAGGAGACCATCCGCCACCTCATCAGGAGCATGCCCAGGCATTGTAGGGAGGTCATACAGGCACATGGAGGCCACACACACTACTGAGCCTCATTTTGACTTGTTTTAAGGACATTACATCAAAGTTGGATCAGCCTGTAGTGTAGTTTTCCACTTTAATTTTGAGGGTGACTCCAAATCCAGACCTCCATGGGTTGATACATTTGATTTCCATTGATAATTTTTGTGTGATTTTGTTGTCAGCACATTCAACTATATAAAGAAAAAAGTATTTAATAAGATTATTTCGTTCATTCAGATCTAGGATGTGTTATTTTAGTGTTCCCTTAATTTTTTTGAGCAGTGTATTTTGTCTTGCCCATTCACCCTCTCAATGGCACACATACACAATCCATATCTCAATTGTCTGAAAGGCTTAAAATCCTTCTTTAACCTCTTAAGGATCGGACAATTTTTTCAAATTTTCGCCTAAAATGACATACCCAAATCTAACTGCCTGTAGCTCAGGACCTGAAGCAAGGATATGCATATTCTTGATACCATTTGAAAGGAAACACTTTGAAGTTTGTGGAAATGTGAAATTAATGTAGGAGAATATAACACATTAGATCTGGTAAAAGATAATAGAAACAAAAAAACGTGTTTTGTTTTGTTTTTTTGTTCCATCATCTTTGAAATGCAAGAGAAAGGCCACAATATAATACTGCAGTTTAGGCGCAATTTAGATTGCAGTGTGTGTGCAAAGTTTCAGATTGATCCAGTGAAGCATTGCAATACTGGACTATTTTGTATGAAGTCTGCCCAAATGTGCCGAATTGGTCAATTGATACATTTTCAAGGACATAACTATAGAGAACATACAAAAATGATATGGTAATACAAAATGTAAGTTTACACACTGATGGATCATTAGCTTATACACTAACTTTCACACATCTAGATGGCCGGGCGGGGTGGGTGTGGAGCAGAGACAGCAGGGATGCAAACTGTAGAACCCAGTTCCTACATTTGAATATAAAAATGGATTTTATCGAACAAAACTATGCTACATTTTATCTCTGGGACCCTTAGGATGACAAATCAGAGCAAGATTACTGAATGTAAGTACATTATTTACCTTCAGAGGTGAATGTATCAAACCAGTTGCCGTGATAAGTTTTTTGTTGTTGTGCACTCTCCTCAAACAATAGCATGGTATTTTTTCTCTGTAATAGCTACTGTAAATTGGACAGTGCAGTTAGATTAACAATAATTTAACCTTTCTGCCCATATAAGACATGTCTATGTCCTGGAAAGTTTGCTGTTACTTACATTCACAAAGCGTCTCAGAGTAGAAGTGCTGATCTAGAATCAGTTTTGCCTTTTAAATCGTAATGAACACGAGGGTGGCCCTGATCCTAGATCAATCAGTACTTCTCTGAGACACTTTGTGAATAAGGGACAGAGTTTGCGCAAAGCAGGCCATACAGTAGTCTACATACACACACAAGGTTCCATACTTTTGACACCATCTAGTGGAATTGACTGATACTTACAGTAAAGCAGCTCAACAGATACGATTAACTAATGCTATTTTTCCTCTGAAAGAGCAGTTTATTAAATTGGAAGCTTTTCAATAGATTTTTACAAATTCATTAGCATTATTCGAAATCACACAATACAATCAACAGTAATCATACAACACATAATACATCATGCACATAGTGGACCTCATTAATCTCTTATAATTTGACTGTGCAGCCATTTGTTTTTCTATGAAAACAAGTTATTATTTTTCAGTGACTCTATTTTCAAGTATTGTCATGTTATTTCATTGTCAATTTCATATTAATTGTATGAGGCCTGCAGTTTCAAGCGTAAACAGATAGTGTCACTGTTGCAAATTTTATCAAGCTACAGTAAACGTGCCCATTACACCATAACACTGTTTGTTTTACAAAACAGTTCAGACATGAGAGAAATGGCTTTGTGATGCTCACTGAGGTCCACTATGTGCATGATTTATTATGTGTTGTATGATTACTGTTTTCTTTGATTCTGCAGACAACCCTCTCCTATCCAACAAGGTCACAGTAACAATCAATGTGCTGGATGTCAACGAGTTCCCTCCAGAGTTCGCCATTCCCTTTGACACTTTTGTCTGTGAAAAAGCAAAAGTAGGCCAGGCAAGTACAGCTCCTCTATGATAAAGTGTGTGTGTGTGTGTGTGTGTGTGTGTGTGTGTGTGTGTGTGTGTGTGTGTGTGTGTGTGTGTGTGTGTGTGTGTGTGTGTGTGTGTGTGTGTGTGCGTGTGCGTGTGCGTGTGTGTGTGTGTGTGTGCGTGCGAGCGTGCGAGAGAGAGAATGAAAGATAAATATAATAATTGTGATAATTGTCTCTCCACTTGCTTCTGTTGCTTATTGTAGTTTAAAGCTCTTTGTGCTTTACCAGGTAATTCAGACCATCAGTGCTATGGACAAGGATCTTCCCGCTGTTGGACAGAAGTTCTTCTTCAAGTCCCCCAGGGAAATCAGAAACCGAAATTTCACTGTGCGAGACTTTGGAAGTAAGCCACATTATTTTTTTCAGAGAAATAATGGAAGGGATACAAGAGAGCAAGAGATGGAGAGAAGGTGAAGGAGGGGATAGAGAGAGAGATGGAGTGAGAGATGGAGAGAAGGTGAAGGAGGGAATATAGAGAGAGATGGAGTGAGAGATGTATAGAAAGTGAAGGAGGGGATAGAGAGAGATGGAGTGGGATATGGAGAGAAGGTGAAAGAGGAGATAGAGAGAGATGGAGAGAAGGTGAAGGAGGGGATAGAGAGAGAGATGGAGTGAAGGTGGAGGAGGGGATAGAGAGAGAGATGGAGTGAGAGATGGTGAGAAGGTGAAGGAGGGGATAGAGAGAGAGATGGAGTGAGAGAAGGTGAAGGAGGGAAAGAGAGAGAGGAAGAGAGAGGCGAGAGAGGGATAATTAAACAGTTGTGGCACGTTCAGTAAGGATCTTTGTATAAAGTCTATTGAAAGTATATACAGACTATCTATTATGATGCCGTGCCAGTGACTCGCTTCAAATCTGTTTTCTTGATACTAGCTCCCTACAATATCCACTAACAATTGGTATAGAATACGTTTAGAGTTTTTTGTCACAACCCAGGGGACGCCAGGGTGAAATTGTTTACATTGAGCAAACCCATACAGCCTTACCACCTCACCATCCTCAGTTAGTATTTTTCTAACACAGTAACACATAAATATTAGGGCTGATTCAGAGAGACAGCAGCGCTCATGGCCATCACAGCAAACAGGCACAAGGTGTGCTATAATGGCTCCTACCTTGTCAAATGAGATCATTGTCCAGCCAGGCAGAGGTAATGCTGTGTGACAGAGTCAGTTCACCACCACTATCCTGGTGCTGGAGAGGAGGCAAGGCACATCTCGACACGTCGTCTCTGTAAAAACACCAGGCCTGTGTTTGTTTCTCAGAGCCGTGCATTGTTCTGCTGGCCCTTTTTTGTTTAGTTTTTTTGTACATTCTAAGTACTCGCCTTCACCTTATTTCAAATAAGGCACTTGGCGAACAGCAAAAGCTGTAAAAGTGACATTCTAGATACAAGACCGGCAGCGATGGAAATCTTTAGTATGGGCCCTATATTTCTCCCTAAACGAAGAAGATTAAGTAAGAACTGCAGGTTCATGCTCTACAACATCCGTAGAGTACGACCTTTCCTCACACAGGAAGTGGCGCAGGTCCTAATCCAGGCACTCGTCACATCCCGTCTGTACTACTGCAACACTCTGTTGGCTGGGCTCCCCGCTTGTGCCATCAAACTCCTGCAACTTATCCAGAACGCCGCAGCCCGTCTGATGTTCAACCTTCCCATGTTCTCCCATGTCACCCCACTCCTCCGTACGCTCCATTGGCATCCAGTCAAAGCTTGCATCCACTAGAAGACCATGACTCTTGCATAGTGAGCAGCAAGGGGAACTGCCCCTCCCTACCTTTAGGCTATGTTCAAACCCTACACCCCACCCAAGCACTCTATTCTGACACCTCTGTTCTCTTGGCCGTCCCACCCCTACAGGAGGTCAGCTCCTGCTCAGCCCAGTTAAAGCTCTTCTCTGTCCTGGCACCCAAATGGTGGAACTACAGTGCCTTGCAAAAGTATTCATCCCCATTGGCATTTTTCCTATTTTATTGCATTAACCCTGTAATTTAAATGGATTTTTATTTGGATTTCATGTAATGGACATAAACAAAATAGTCAAAATTGGTGAAGTGAAATGAAAAAAATAACTTGTTTCAAAGAATTCAACAAAAAAAAAGCCATTGCTTAAATTAAAAAAAATAAGGAAACACGTTTGGTGTTCACCAAAAGGCATGTGGGAGACTCCCCAAACATATGGAAGAAGGTACTCTGGTCAGATGAGACAAAAGTTGAGCTTTTTGGCCATCAAGGAAAACGCTATGTCTGGCGCAAACCCAACACCTCTCATCACCCCGAGAACAGTGAAGCATGGTGGTGGCAGCATCATGCTGTGGGGATGTTTTTCATCGGCAGGGACTTGGAAACTGGTCAGAATTGAAGGAATGATGGATGGCGCTAAATACAGTGAAATTCTTGAGGGAAACCTGTTTCAGTCTTCCAGAGATTTGAGACTGGGACGGAGGTTCACCTTCCAGCAGGACAATGACCCTAAGCATACTGCTAAAGCAACACTCGAGTGGTTTAAGGGGAAACATTTAAATGTCTTGGAATGGCCTAGTCAAAGCCCAGACCTCAATCCAATTGAGAATCTGTGGTATGACTTAAGGATTGCTGTACACCAGTGGAACCCATCCATCTTGAATGAGCTGGAGCAGTTTTACCTTGAAGAATGGGCAAAAATCCCAGTGGCTAGATGTGCCAAGCTTATAGAGACATACCCCAAGAGACTTGCAGCTGTAATTGCTGCAAAAGGTGGCTCTACAAAGTATTGACTTTGGGGGGGTGAATAGTTATACACGCTAAAATGTTCAGTTTTTTTGTCTTATTTCTTGTTTGTTTCACAATAAAACATATTTTGCATCTTCAAAGTGGTAGGCATGTTGTGTAAATCAAATGATACAAAGTAATATATAAAGTAATTTTAATTCCAGGTTGTAAGGCAACAAAATAGGAAAAATGCCAAGGGGGGTGAATATTTCGCAAGCCACTGTAGCTTCCCTCTGATGCTAGGACAGTCCCTGCCCATCTTCTGAAAACAAAACATGTGCACTTGTTTTTTCCTGCTAGCACTGACTTTGCTGAAAAATGTACTTACTACAACTGTGATATGTGGTTGTCTCACCTAGCTATCTTAAGATGAATGCACTAACTGTAAGTCGCTTTGGATAAGAGCATCTGCTAAATGACTAAAATGTAAATGTAACTATGTAAGTAAATACAGGTATGTACTCTCCGTTGCATCAGGGTGAACACGCTTTGATGGGCTCCCATTTGGCTTTTAGACTCTGCGGGGATAGAGACCAGACGTATAGTGTTCCAGACTTAATTGATTGATTGATTGATTGATTGATTTATTTATTTAAGACATATAGGTTAATGATCGTGTCATTTGGTTTCCAGACAACACAGCAGGGATAGTGACTAAGCGTGTGGGGTTCCAGAGGCGGGTCCAGGAGTTCTATGTGGTGCCTGTGGTGGTGGAGGATAGTGGGTACCCAGCCCAGAGCAGCACCGGCACCCTCACTGTCCGGGTGTGTGCCTGTGAGACCGACGGGTCCCTCCTGTCCTGCACGGCAGAGGCAGTCTTCCTACCAGTGGGCCTCAGCACCGGGGCAGTGATGGCCATTTTACTGTGCATGGTCATACTCCTGGGTAAGTCATGTCTGTCAGTCAGAGATTCTAGTGTAGAAACGCAGTATTTCTGAACTTGTATATTATTTCCATTTGACACCCACCTTGACAATGATAAATGGTAATAATGGTAGTAATGGCTTCCCCCAAGTGTTCATTTCCTGCTATAGACTGTAAATGCACGTTATCATAATGTTAATGTGTATAATTTTACACTAGGGGGAGCTGAAGTCCTAACGTACAGTAATATAATTCAATTGACGTCACAATTTCAAAAATGGCCCTTGAAACAATCCCATAATCATACTTGTAGGTCGATTTAGCTCACTTATCTTGGTCCAGCCATTCCCCCCTACTTTTTCCTACTAAAGTATAATCTCTTGCTGTTGAATAACATAACACAGTGAGCACTACGGTAGTGTGGAGTAGGCTGCTGTATTGTACTCTCTACTGTCTGCCACTGGGAGGGAGGAAGAGAGAGGGAGGGAGGGAGAGGTAGAGATGAAAGCATTGTGAAACAGCCTTTCATCCTGTCTGACTACTGCCTCAGTATAATAGTGACAGATGGCATGTCAGAAATGGATCACGGCTGGCCTCAGGCTGTGATTCCTTTAAGTTCTCCTGCTGAAAAAAAAGAACGTCTGAAGAAAAGAGGAAATTAACTAATGGCTCCTCACACATGACATCCCACTGTCTCTCTTCCCATTGCCTCCTACAGTACTGTGAAAAGCTCTTCAAATGCACGTCACTGTATATTTTAACTGCAGTACATCTATGTATGGAGACGATAAAACGGTGGGTGCGCTTGTTTCTTTTGTATTGTAGTGATCGTGGTGCGCTTATTTCTTTTGTATTGTAGTGATTGTGGTGCTCTACGTGGGCCTGAGATGGCAGAAGAAAAGGGAGACATTGATGTCATCCAAGGAGGACATGCGGGACAACGTGATCCACTATGACGTTGAGGGGGGCGGCGAGGAGGACACCCACGCCTTCGACATGGGCACACTGAGGAACACCAAGGCCATCAAGGAGCACATGCTCCGCCAGGGCACAGGGTCATGGTCAGATGTCACCGCTCAAACTGAGATCAATGGGTCAACCCCCACCACAGAGGGCAGCACTGACATCATCAGGGACTATATTCACCAGTGTCTCCACGAGAACCACCTGGGTTTCTCTTCTCCGCCATATGACTCCCTGGCTACATACGCCTACGAGGGGGATGGGTCAGTGGCAGAGTCGCTGAGCTCCATCGAGTCGTGGACGGCGGACGGCCGTGAGGACTTCAGATACCTCAGCGAGTGGGGGCCATCCTTCAAAACTCTGGCGGGGATATTAGACAAAGACAAAGCAGATCCTCCCACTGTGGAAGTGGAGGAGAGCTGAGAGTACTTGTAAAGACAGGAATGACAGAAAATACTACTTGATTTGCAAAAGTTATTTTACTTTTATTGTTTATTTTTTTAAGACAATGGGAATAAAATACAAGCCTTTCACTTCAGTTTTTATCATAGTTTTATGGTGGTTGTTATTGTTGTTGGTTTTTTTATTAAAATAAACTTGACAAGCTATCAAAGTGCCTCGGGAACTGCTCTGTTTTTATCGAACTACAGAATCTACAAAATGTCTTTATTGTAAGAATGTAATAATCTATTGAAAAGAGACCCCTCATCCATGCTCACATAGGCCAGATACACTCACCCACTTCAGCTAAACTGGGCCTTTAGACAATAATCCTTATAGCCCTTCAAAAGCATGCAGTTGTTAACTACAGTACTGTACAATAATCTTTACTTAAACCCTTCTCCATGGATTCTGATGACCCAGCTAGAATTGAAGGTGGTGCTAATCACAATAGGCAAATTGTTTCTGTCGAAAACAAGACCCAACCAATGCTCTTGTTTGTCTAGTTCATCTCCGAGGAGCTACAAGCTTTCATCCTCTTTTATTCTTGTCAAATTAAATGTCAAGTGATTTTCAAATGTCAACTGCAGTGGAATATTTTATTGTAAAGCGATTCTCGCATTAATTATGCTAAAGACTGTAAGGATAAGACAATTATCTTGAAAATTATGAGCTTTCTAGTTCACCATACTCAAAATGGTTTGACTTTACAGAAACGTAAGCAGGGTAGGATCAGACAGTTTCAGTGCATTATTTGATTTGTTAATTTATGTTTATCCACATAACCTTTTCAATGTATGTTGATCTACCTGAAAGCAGACATTAACATAGAACATTGTATCCTTTTGAGTTTTGTTTCATATACTGTATGTTGTTATAATACATTAACACACACTCCTTGAGTAGGCAAGTGATGAACAGTTATTTTTTCTTCTCACGAGCATTTGCATGTGTTTCATTTGTCGAAGGAAGCAAATAGATGATTAACCTAAAGTCGTACCTTGAAGGTGACGAAGAAATATATAATTAAATTTTTATTGTGCAGGTAAAAGCAACATTAATAATTTTTAAGTGTGTGGCTAAAAACAAATTAAATATCCACACACAGCGTTATTCTACTCCCAGAGAACAACATTACATGTTGACCCTAATAAACATGTCATCATACTAAATCATTATTTTGTTATTCACATCAACAGCAGTAACCCACAGCCCCCAGGCCAGAAGCACCTCTGGAAGTGAGAACATGGATGAAGACATCATCATCAGGCTGCTAAGCTGCCGGTATCCCACTGCATAGTATCATGTTCCTTGCTCACATGCTGGGGCCTAAATTGGCCAATCTAATTCAGTGCAAAGACATATTAATAGTGGATTTTTTTATTTATTCCCTTTTCCCCAACACTATGCCACCAGCAGAGCTCTAGAATTGTTTTATTTAGGCAGTTGAAATGGCATATTCTGAGGAATTCCTTTTATTTAACCTTAATTTTGACAGGGAGTCTGCTGAGTCCAAGGTCTCTTTCACAGATGAGCCCTGCATCACATCAATACACATCAATATACATTATGCACACCATTATACACATCATTATACACATCAATATTCACATCAATACACGGAAAGCAAAACACAATCATAGAAAACAAACACATCTTTCAGTAAATGGTCAATAAGCCTTTTGAATTGCCCTAGAGGCACCAATTCATCCAATTTTAGAGAGCATTGGAGATTATTCTGTAAATATGGTGTAAAGAAACTAAAAGCAGATTAACTCAGTGGAGTTCAAAGGGATCTCCAGAGTTAGCCATCCCTGAGACTGAGTCTGGTATCTCGTACGTCTGTAAGTTAACAATGAAGTAAGGTACGGCGGAAGTTTATGCAGGAGGGCTTCATAAACAAAAACAGTGCAACGCATCGATCTACGAGACTTCAGAGAGGGTCAGCCTACTTTCTAATACAGAATGCAGTGATGTGTACTGATCCTATCACCTGTAATAATTGTAGTGTCCTATGATAAACTGTGTCCAATGGGTTCAATACAGTGGCAGCTGCATTCATATAGACAATATCCCCATAGTATGAATGTTGACTGAATGAGTTGTTTTCTGCTATTTAATGAAAGGATTTACCTATTCCTATATAATTAATTGTAATTCTTAATTTCTTATCTAACTAATCAACATGCTTTTTCAAAGATAGCCATTCGTCAATCCAGATACGCAGATATTTATAAGCGGGGACACGATCAATAAGGGCACCATCCAATGTACATACATAAATCATCAGATATATTTTTATGTGAGATGGAGAATAACATATACTTGGTTTTACTTGCATTAAGTACCAATTTCAGTTCAACAAAGGATTTCTGCAAAGCAATGATGGCAGATTGAGGTTCCAAAAGAGCTTGGTCAATCATGGGTTCAACTGAGCTCCATCATTCATTGAAACAGATGGCTCATTCATCACAAAACCCACTGATATTGCCAACCAAGGTAGTGGGTTCGATCCCCGGGACCACCCATACACAAAAATGTATGCACACATGACTGTAAGTCGCTTTGGATAAATGGCATATTATATTATATTATAACTACTTTAATGTTTTTTTCATTGGCAAGATTAGCAAACTTAGGCATGACATGCCAGCAACAAACGCTGACACTACACATCCAAGTATAACTGATCAAATTATGAAAGACAAGCATTGTAATTTTGAATTCCGTAAAATGAGTTTGGAAGCAGTGAAAAATATATTGTTGTCTATCAACAACGACAAGCCACCGGGGTCTGACAACTTGGATGGATAATTACTGAGGATAATAGCGGACGATATTGCCACTCCTTTTTGCCATATCTTCAATCTAAGCCTACTAGAAAGTGTGTGCCCTCAGGCCTGGAGGGAAGCAAAAGTCATTCCGCTACCCAAGAATAGTAAAGCCCCATTTACTGGCTCAAATAGCTGACCAATCAGCCTGTTACCAACCCTTAGTAAACTTTTGGAGAAAATTGTGTTTGACCAGATACAATGCTATTTTACAGTAAACAAATTGACAACAGACTTTCAGCATGCTTATAGGGAAGGACATTCAACAAGCACAGCACTTACACAAATGACTGAGGATTGGCTGAGAGAAATTGATGATAAAAAGATTGTGGGAGCTGTTTCGTTAGACTTCAGTGCGGCTTTTGACTTTATCGATCATAGTCTGCTGATGGAAAAATGTATGCGTTATGGCTTTACACCCCCTGCTATATTGTGGATAAAGAGTTACCTGTCTAAAAGAACACAGAGGTAGTTCTTTAACGGAAGCCTCTCCAACATAATCCAGGTAGAATCAGGAATTCCCCAGGGCAGCTGTCTAGGCCCCTTACTTTTTTCAATCTTTACTAATTGCATGCCACTGGCCTTGAGTAAAGCCAATTTGGCCATGTATGCAGATGACTCAACACTATACATGTCAGCTACTACAGCGTGTCACGATCGTCTGAGGAAACGGACCAATACGCAGCGCGTGGAGTGAACATGATGACTTTATTAAATAAAAGCAACCACGAAAACAACCAACAAATGACGATAGTGAAGTCCTACAGTGACTATGACTGAACCTGGAACAAAAACCCACCACAAAAGGACCAAGCAGCGTGTCAAGCGGCAACAGGACCCAGCTCCAAAGGTCTGGACATGGGAGGAGATTTTGGACGGAAAAGGGTCCTGGACTTGGGAGGAGATCCTGGAGGGGATGGATCGCCGTCCATGGAGCGAGACAGTGGAGAGGCGACGGAGAGAGGAACAACGGCGTCGGCAGGGCCATCGTCGGAGGGACGAGAGGCAACCCCAAAAAGTTTTTTGGGGGGGGCACATGGCTTGGGCGGTTGGGCAGCAGGAGGCTGCCACAGGGAGATGTGGAGAGAAGGCTATCGGATTACGGGAGCCATTGGCGAGTAGAGGAAGGGAAGTTGTTGCGGCACGGCGTGAGAGACTGATGGGTGTTACCAGTCCGGTCCGGCCCGTTCCTGATCCCCAGTTAAAGCCAGTGGTGTGTGTTCCCAGTACGGACCGGCCTGTTCCTACTCCACGCATCAAGCCCACGGTGTGCGTCGCCAGTCCAGCCCGGCCGGTTCCTGTGCCACGTAGGAAGCCTACGGTGTGCGTGGCCAGCCCAGCCCGACCTGTTCCGACTCCACGCATCAAGCACACGGCATGGACGACGGAGGCAAAGATGGGGCGAATCCAGGAGGCCACCAGGCCAGGGGTACACCGCCCTGTACGTCCTGTGCGGATGCCTCACACTGAGTGTGTGAGGGTAGGCATTCAGCCAGGACGGGTGGTGGCCGCTGTTCACTCCAGGCCTCCTATCCGTCTCCACAGCCCGGTCCGGCCTGTTCCTGCCACCCGCACCAAGTCTACGGTGTGCGTCGCCAGCCCAGCCCGGCCTGTTCCTGCCACCCGCACCAAGCCTACGGTGCGCGTCGCCAGCCCGACCCGGCCTGTTCCTGCCACTCGCACCAAACCTACGGTGCGCGTCGCCAGCCCGGTCCGGCCTGTTGCTGCTCCCCGCACTAGCCCTGAGATGCGTGTCCTCAGCCCGGGACCACCAGTTCCGGCACCACGCACTAGGCCTTATGTGCGTCCCCAGGGTCCAGCATGCCCTGTTGCTTCTCTCCGCACTAGGCCTCATGTGCGTCCCCAGGGTCCAGCATGCCCTGTTGCTTCTCCCCGCACTAGCCCTGAGATGCGTGTCCTCAGCCCGGTACCTCCAGTTCCGGCACCACGCACCAGGCCTACGGTGCGCCTCAGACGGCCAGAGTCTGCCGTCTGCCCAACGGGGCCTGAACTGCCCGTCTGCCCAAAGGTGCTTAAGCCGCCCGTCTGCCATGAGCCGTCAGAGCCGTCCGCCAGACCGGGGCCGCTAGAGCCTTCTGCCAGACAGGATCAGCCAGAGCCTTCCGCCAGACAGGATCAGCCAGAGCCTTCCGCCAGACAGGATCAGCCAGAGCCTTCTGCCAGACAGGATCAGCCAGAGCCTTCTGCCAGACAGGATCAGCCAGAGCCTTCCGCCAGACAGGATCAGCCAGAG